AAACAACCCCAAAAATCCCTTTTAAGGTTCAGGATGACGTTGAAATCGTCTTAACTGACAATGTTGTAAGCTACCCGGCAGCAATGCTTCCACTATGTTAGCTTCCACCTTATTAGAGCTTTTCAGTCTTATTGAGCTAACACAATTGAAAAATGCTTTTTGCCAGACAAGACATGTCCTAGTATTAACATTGGTTCATCAGCTGTTGTAAAGAGACCTTAGAACAGAGGTGGCAACAGAGCCTCTGCAGGCCAGATCCGACCCACCAAGCTGGTTGATCTGGCCTGCAGCCGCCCTGCCACTCTACTGCCCCCAGGCCAATTGAGACCTGGAGACAGGGGAGCGCGCAAAGTCTCCTTCCCCCTGCCAGGGGTGCGCAGCACCAGAGGGAACTATTGGCTATTGTAAAACAGCCAGCGGTTCTCTCCAGCCACTCTGCATTCCTGACAGGGTGGAGGTGGGAGGCAAAGACTTCACACACTACACCCATCCCCAGATTTTCATTGGCCTGGGAGCAGGGGAAGCATGTGAAGTCTCCTCCCACTGTGAAGCCTAGAGAGAAACAGCTGGCGATTCTCTCTAGACTTTAGGGGTGGGGGGCAATGACTTCATGCGCTCCCCCACCCCTAGGCCAATCAGGGTCTCTGGGCAGGGGAGCATAAGAAGTCTCCTGGCCCTATCCCTTCCACCCGAGGTCCCATCCTTTCCAAGGTGGCCCGGGGCCACTTCAGAAATTTTCGAAGTGGCCTCACTTTAAAAATTATTGCCCACCCTGCCTTCAAGTAACTATCATCAGAAATTGCTGGATTTGTTAATCAAATAATTTGTCACAGATGTGGTAGTAATCTCGCTAGCTGTTACAGTTCTCTAGTGCTTTTGTGGAGCAAAATGAAGTTTTGCTTACTTTCTCAGCATCAATTGACACTTGTTTAAAAATTAGACTACAAGTTTGTTTCAGGGTCACTGAAATTCAAACAGTTGTGGGTTTTTTTTTTCCCTCTTGCTAATCCTTATGGGTATTTCCACTTTTTCTTAAATGGTTAAGAAAACTTTTAGTTAGTTACAATAGAATCTTTGTAATCCCATGTGAGGTGACAGGATAAATTCCAACCATCTAACTGTGTAGCTGTTATGCACTGTGGAGCATGAAAGATGATCTGGCTTTACAGTGGACCGGACAGCTACATGCCACTATTATAGATGAACATTTGTATGAGAGCAGTGTGATGTGTGTTAATATGAAATACAGGTTCTTTGTCAAAAACACGCAACATTTTAAAAGCATATTCATGTTTGGGACTGTGTGACCCTGGGGACAGGAAAGCAGGAGACCTGGATATGATTTTCAGATCTATCACGGTTTGTTGTGTTAATCTGAGCAGGTCATTTCATTCTGTGCCTGAGCTTTCCCATCTATCAAATACAGAAGATCTTGATTCACCTTTTTGAAGTGCTTTGAGAGCTATATGTGGAAAGCTCTGAGTGCCAAATATTAATTATTAGTATTGAGTTCCCTGGTAATCCAACTCCTGATTTTTGTTTTCTTTCAGAGTGATTTGTACCCCTTTTATTATAGTCCCATTGAAAGATTTGTGAACAATGCTGTATTTAGAGCAACCTGTGAATGCTGATATATCTTACTGATTGTTTTAAACTCTCTTTTATCGAATGCATGCAAATCAGCTCATTCAGAATGTAATTAAGAATCATTTCCATTCTGAACATCAGTATAAGAATAGGTAATTAAAATATCATTTAAATTATGAGTTTTTTATTGTTACCCTTACAATTTCTTGTCATTTATTTAATCTGCCCTTATGTTGAATTCCCTTCTTGTGGATTCTTAGCTTTAGCAACACAGTGTAAGACTGCAGTAATCACAGTTTTCATAAGTATTGCTTTACTGCTGCCTTAATGAGCTAGTTAGCTAGCTTTCAAAGTGTTACTTGGAAAAAATGAATATAAATTGCCTTGGATACCATAGGAACATATGCCCTTCACACTGAATATCTGTTAAAAAAAGCATGAAGAAAGGTTAATGTGTCAAATTGGGAGGATGTGTCCAGTGTGGTACCAAAGGAGCTTGTCTGGAAGAGAGGAAATGACAACACATTGGAAAAATCCACTATTTTGCAAACTCCATTGAGAACAGAGAAATAATACAAAGAAAACAAGAGAAACTAAAAACACAGACAGAAAATAACATACGGAGATTCATCTTCAAAGCACACAACTCCTAAGCCTACAGGAAGGTAACCCAAAACTTACTCAGTGGCAGGGAGGCATCTGGGAAAGAGCAATACTGAGTGAAACCTGTGAGTGATAGTGGGGAGCAAATTAAATATGAGTCTGCAAAGCATTAAAAGAAAGAGGGAGCTCAGACAAGAAGCCTGATAATTCTGGGGTTGGGTGGAATTGATTTGAGGAAGAATTCAGAGAGCTAACTCATGACTTAGCTAAGACCTTGATCCAGCCTGGCTCACCGTGAGCAGAGGTTGCTTCATGGTAGCAGACCCTGTCCTTGGCGGTTCCATGCTGCCTGCGGACAGAGCTGAAGCAGCCTCTGTCCATGAGGATCTCGGACCCTTGGTAGATAGGGATTGCTACTGGAACAGCCTCTGACCATGGCCAGTCTGGGCCACTGCAGACAGACTGCTTCATGGCAGCCTCTCCCATCATCTTCCCCCCATTAGTCTCTGTGGGGAGCTTGGACCCCCCATGGCCAGGGACTGCTGCTGCCTCTGATACAGAGGCAGCAGCGCAGGGTGGTAGGCAGCTGGTCCATGAGGGGAGCTGGTTTTTAAATTGGCTCCCCTCACAGACTGGCTCCCTCCTGATACCTCTTGCTGCCGCCTCTGGTACAGAGGCAGCAGCATGGGGTGGCAGGGGGCTGCCTGAGAGTGAGACCAGAGGGCACTGGCTGCTAGCCCCACGCCTGGGGACTATATAATAGTTGACTAACTGCTAAGAATTCATGTGGTTAGTCAACTATTCTATTGCCCGCTATCTAACTTCCCTACTGTGCTATGCTGGAAGAGGGCATTAGGGATCACAAATGGAGATTCAAATCTAGAAGTGTTTGAAGGGTGGAATTGTGACCAATGGACAGAAATAAGGTTGCATGGTTATGGCTAGAACCTACAAGTGATGGAATAAAAATGAGAGAGAAAATAATCTGGCCTCACATCAGCTCAGTGAGATGTAGTAAACTGTGGAATAATCTCTAAAGTAGCATAGTGAAAATCCCGTTTCATAAGGCACTTAAAACTAGCATGGGGAAGAATGCTAGAGAATATGCTAGTAAGTCATCTACCTGCCAATGCAGGATTGTTCCTTAACCGACATCTCTAACTCCAGTACGTGTATATAAAAAGTATTGCTTTAGAAATAGGTCTGAAGTCATTCACACGTTCAGTGAAAGAGGTTTGAATATGGTTTTACATTTGTTTTCACCAAAGCGACTGTGCCTGTTGAATCCTGAGCACCTGGGTTTTCCATCTGAGAACATGGATGTGTACGTTTGACTATATGGATATGGCGTTGGATGTACACGCCGCTACGTTAGTGGTTTATGTAAATGTTTTTCTTCACAGCAGTGTATCTTCTTGCTAACGTCTCTAATGAAATTTGTAATTTTTGACATCTTAGACTGAGGGAAAAATTTTAAATTCAGATACCCAAAACACCAATTAAATATTTATCCAATCACTTTTAATTTTATTAATCCATCAGCACTTGTTTCTGTCTAATTAATTTTGCATTAACCTCTTACAGCTGGATATGCCTAATGAACAGATAGTTGCCAATCTGGATGCAATTATTAAGGATGTCTGTACTTATAAGCCATTGAGCTATGGTAAGTAGCTTTTCCTTTAGCCTATTATTGAAATTAAAGCAAATTACGTAAGTAGTAAGAGAGCTCTCTTTGTCGCTGACTATTGCCAAGCACTCTACAAACATCACTTCATCTGCCTTTAGGAAGGAGGCAGCTTTTTGGCCTTGATTCAGCAAGGTACTTAAACTAATGCTTAACTTTAAGCAAATGAGTGGTCCCCTTGACTATAAAGCACTGTTAATGTGTGCCTTGCCGAATCACGATGTTAGCATTGATATGCACTAAAGGACAGGAGTGGTTAGAAAATGAGCATAATTACTGTACCCAATTGAGCTTGCAGGGAGGACTGTTACGTAGAGCGTAGTGGAATTTAGTCAGGACAAGGGGGTTGCCAAGCTAGAATTTTAGGAAGGAATAAGCAAGAAGAAAATTCATTCTGTGACTCTGCATCAGTCTTGCACCACTACGCTTTTACCTGTGTTGTGTGCTTCTGTGGGGGTTGAATCTATGGATTCCAGGATCAGCGTTTATCAATGGTTCTACCCAATGTGAACTGCCATCGGCCATAATTTTGCCATTGATATGGCTAATTTCCCATTCTTTTCTGTTAACTTTCAAGGCAGTAAGGTGAGATCACTTGTGAATAAAACTCCAGTCTGCATGTCTTCTACAGGCTTCAGAGAAGAATTGGCTCTGCTTAGTGTTAGGATTATAAATTGCAAACAATGAACGTGGATCCTGCAGCATGCTCTTTTTCTTGTTGATTGACTTCATAATAAAGTAAACTCTCAGCATAGTCTTCTGCATGACTGGAGGGGCAGGAGTGGTTAATGAACATAATAGTTTTAGAAGAAATAGCCTGATGTTTAGTGGTTTCAAACAGAATATCCAGTACACTGCTATCTAATGTTAAATATTGCCCTGTTTTTGTTTTTAACATTTATATTCCTAACCAAAAATCCACTAATTCCTTCCAATCTACTTTTTGTAGAAAATGGTCCCTTATCACACACTTGTGCTCTCCTCTCACTGCTGTTAATGTTGCCTGTGCAGGATCCTGGCAGGATTTTTAAAACTTTTTTTTTTCTTTTCCTGTAGAGAAAATAACTTTTTAAAAATAATTCAATGTTTTAGAAAGCATCATGTGGCTGATAGGCTCACTCAAAGAATTAGTAATCAGAGAAACAATAGACATTGAGCATCCTGCCTTTCCAGGGTGTTTTGATAACTACATCAGTCTAATAAAATGGATATAAGCTGCTGGAATGGATCAGTGTTGAGGAGGAGTTAGTTGTGCTCGTCTGTGACTAATTCTTCTGATTTTTAGTGTGTAGAGAGTACCACAGCCAGGTAGACTTTTTTTTACCATCCCAAAAGTCAGACTTTACTCTAGGTAACAACGGAAAGGTGGTGTCCAAAATCTACTATTCTAAGTAGTTGCTGAAAAAACAACAAACGGTCTGGTAGCACTTTATAGACTAACGAAACATGTACAAGTTTCGTTAGTCTATAAAGTGCTACCAGACCATAGTCTGTTACAGAAAAAACAACAAACTCGGCTACCCCCTGAAGCTTCTAAGTAGTTGCAGGTAGTTTCCTATTTTCCATTCCTCTCAAGCCCCACCCTCCCTTGTGCAGTGTATAAAACATCAAAAGTTAGTATTTTCTTTACCGTGTGTGCACATAACCATGTCACTGAAAATGCTTAATTAGTGTTTAACTCTCCTTATCAAAAATTAACAACATTCACTAGATAAAGCATGCAGATTGATGTTACAAGATGCATATTATTTTATGCTTCCCCCCCAAAAAAATGTAATGTAAGAAAATGTGACTTGGTTCATTTTCTAGAAATTGTTGGTGTTTTTCCATTAATGAATGTTTAGAATATAAATGACTGATTTATGAGTTTCAGTAGATCTGCAGATAAGGAAAATTAATTCTACTGCGTTCCATATCCCTGGAGACAAAAATATGAAATCTAGGATTATTTTTAATACAGTTTTGCTTGCCTGACATACCTAATAAAAATTCAGAGGAATGCCAGCTTCCCTGCAGTTTGTTAGATTATATTTTAACTTTGCACTGCACTTAGCATTGGGGGGAAAAGATTAACTGTTCTAAATTAGAAATTTTAAATCATCACAAACAGAGCTACAAAGGAATAATAACAAACATGAATATTTAATCAAAGTGATGTTACTTTGGGACTAGAGTAATATTGTGTTTGCAGCACGCTTGGACTTTGCATTTATTACACTGTTTGCCTTATTTATATTTCAATTAAATATTCCGTGTAAATTCCTTATTCAGTTAATTTTCAATGCTTTATTCTATTGCTTGCATTTGTTAGCATCCACCAGACATTTGGTGATATCACATTTTGTCATTTCCCTTTTTGATTTTTCCCTGCCTGATTCCTGACCTCCCAGAGCAAATGGACAACCGCACCCCCATTCCTGAATCCATTTTGACTTTTTCTTCTCACTCCCCTCTTAGAACCACTATAGCTCTTGCTACCTTGTTCTCCAGTGCAAGGCGCACTTCTTCAACCTGTCTTATAAATATAACGTAATATAAACACAGAGTATACCGTACTTATATGGAGGTCGACTACAGGAGTGCCACTCTTTATTTTCATTCTGCTCGAATGTGAAGGAGAGCTCTGAGATGCGTCTCTTTTTGAAGGTCTAATGTGTTTCCTCAGTCTGAGCTTTTATGCTGGAGCTCTGCCCTGTTAAATCACTCTGCCCACTTGAGTTAGTTCCCACCATCCTGGAAAACAGAGGGAGCCTGTCTACGAGGTCAAAGTGGGTACTTCCAAGGAATTGATAGATATCCTCAGTTTGAAATTAGCTTTTTTATCAGCATGTCCATTTTCTGTACAGTTTTCAAAAACACTTAAGTGATATATCTAGCCTATGTCACCTTTTGAAAAGTTTACTCTAGGATTGTATGTTTAGTTGCAAGAACAAGAAGTTTAAAGGCTGCTAAGGCACATAATATTATTTACCAGTAGTATTTGTATCATAACAACTGAACCATAACCAAATTGATTTTGAATGATTTGGTAAACTTTTTAAAACTGCAGAACTTTTCTCATAAATACATCTATAACAAGCAGATAACTAGTCTGTAAGGTCCCCTGGGAAGAAAAACTAAGGGGGAAAAGGTTAGGAAAGCTGGTAGTTTCTCTGAGTAAATGTGTAAGACAATAACTATCCCAAAGCAAAGAAAACAGGAAGAACAGTAAGAGGCCAATATGGCTCCATCAGGAGCTCTTTAAGTTACCTGAAAATCAAAAAGATTTCCTACAAAAAGTGGAACCATTGACGTAACCAAAGATCAGTATTGAAAGTAGCCCAAGCATGTGAGACACAATCAAAAAAGCTAAGGCACAAAATGAGTTACACTTAACAAGAGACATAAAAGATAAGAAGAGAGAACAAGAGTAAGATGAAGGAAAGTGTAAGTCAGCTATTTGGAAGAGGAGGAGAACTGTCAGTGAACATCATCAAGAGGGCTAAGGTGGTTAATGCCTATCTCATTTCAGGTTTCAGAGGTAGCCATGTTAGTTTGTTTCAGCAAAATCAGCAAGGTGTCTGGTGGCACCGTAAAGACTGTTTTATTACGGCATAAGCTTTCATGAGTTGCAATGCACTTCATCAGATGCATGAAATGAAAGAAAAAGAAGCAGGTAGTAGGGAAGCAGATATGGGGGTGTTAAATCAGAACTACTTCAGTCAAGGTGGATGGGGCTAGGAATGTGAGAATATTTAAATTGAAAAGGTACTTATGGTAATGGGTGAGCCATTCCAAGTCTCTCTTCAGACCCATCACATTTGCATATGAATTCCAGCTCAGCAGTTTCACCTTGTACCCTAAGCAGGCTTAATGTTCAGTAAAGAAGCTTTAAGTTAGATATTGTGGGGGGAGGGAGAAATTCCTAACTATAATGGAATTAAGCACTGGAATAGGTTTCCAAGGGAGTTTGTCGGATCCCCATTCATTGAAGGGTCTTAAAGACTAGGTTAGACCAGCATCTTTCAGGTATGATTTTCGATATGCTTGGCTCCTGGTTCAGCATAGGGGACTGGACTAGAGGACCTTTCAAGTTCCCTCCTGGCTTTATGTTTCTCTGTTTCCATGTTTAATATAAGCATCATATTAGCACTAGTGTAAACTGACCCTAGTTGAGAAATAAACAAAGTGTAAGTGAGGTTGTGTCCCAAGGCTCCTTTAACTCAGTACTGCTCAGTGATACTGCCTGTCTTTAAACAGCTGCTGGGAGGTGGGGATGGGAGATGGCATACGTGATGGCAAAGTAAGTCAGCCTGCAGGTACCAAAAATTCTACTAAAATAATTCCAGTGTTATTTTGTGTTTTGATTTTTAGGTCCATTTGTGCAGCGTTTGGTTATTCGAAGCTCAACCAGTGAAGGTTTAAAACTAAATCTTGAGCCTTTTCTCCCGAAAGTAGAAGAAGCAGAGACAGAAGATGTTAAAGAAAAAGAAGCTGCAAGCTAGCCTCCCGGTGTATTATACTGCAAATTCTCTTAGCATTTTATGTTTCAGAATCCCCAGGAGGGGATTGTATATGGGTCTAAATATGTAAAAATGTGTTTCCCTATTGATTTGTTTTATCACTCTCAGAAATTGATAGTGTGATCTAGATTTCATCTTTCTGAAAGAAGTTAATAAATTTCCCGTTTGCAACTTCATTTTTAATTCTTGCATTATCAAAGATATCCCGAGGCTTTGAGCCACTTTACATGTCCCCCATGTGCAGGTTAAAGCTTTCATCAAGTTGAGTTTGTTGCACGTTGTAGTGTAATTAAACCAAAGCTTATTTTATTTTAAATTTCTATCATTATTGTATATCCTTTCAGGGCAATATTCTCTTAATTGTGCAGACACAATTCCCCATTACTACTAATGGGCAAGATGGGTCCAATCCTTCAAAATGCTGAGTGTGCTGTATTCCAGGTGAAACCAGTGGCAGTAGAGTACTTGTCACTTTACAGAACTGGGTCCTGTTTATGCCCTGATGCACGCTCATTGCACTAATTTATCTTGGAGATAGATACAGTTTACTAAATGGGTCAGAGTGTACTCTTTGTAACACCAGTATATAATGAATAACTCCGCTGCAGTCAGTGGGCATTACTCCTGCCATTTGCTGGAAAAGTCATTCTGCTCTGCACATGATTGTGTCTACACAGGGAGGGGATTGCCAAGGAGATATAGATTTGTCTTTGAACTCCTGTTACACATGGGCCTCTGAATGAAGGCTGCTTTATGGGATAAGGAGGACTTACTTACCTTGTGTTAATATTAGGGCATTGTGTTAAAGGAAGTGAGATCAGGTGGAAATACATAAATACCTTGTTTTTCAGTTCCAAACCTGTTAAACTATGGGGACACGGGATCTAGGGCCCTGCAACATCTAGTCTGAGCTTCAGCTACATCACAATTAAAAAGCTCCCTAGCCTGACCTCTGAGAGCCCCTGCAGGCCAGCTGCAGGTGTCTAGTTGCAGAGTAGACCAGTGTTCCTTCTGATTTGTAAAGTCCATGTGCAGAATGAGTTTTGTTCTGTGAACCAGTACGGAGGTGCCGTGTGACACATTGCACTCATAGTGGTGTGCATAACCAAATTAATTCTGCACATGGATGATGTGTGCTGAAATTGGGCTGAGGGGTTCAGTGCAGGACGTGGCTCCAGGCTGGTGCAGAGGGCTGGGATGCTGGGGACTGAGAGCTGTGGCTAGGGATTTGGGTTTGGGTGGAAATGGGGATGAGGAGTTCGGGGTGCTAGCAACCCTGGGGCTGCAACAGGGGGAGAGGAAACCCTCCCCCGGCCCTCTGTCGCCACAACAGTTTGGGGCCAGATGAGAGGCTCCTCTCCTTGGTGGTGGCAACTCCAGTGGGGATGGGATGGGGCATCTGTCCCCACATACAGGACCCTTGTTAACCTATTGCACAGCCACTCATCTGACAGGAACTTAGGTGCAGATGTACCCTGGGAAGCCTTATCCCCTATTCTGCAGGGCTGGGCTTGCAGGGATTAGTTAGTGTTCTGATGTAATTTCCCAGGCAGGCTCTGTATCAGGCCTGGAGTTGGAGGACATGTACAAGTAGGGAACAAGTAATAGCTGAGAGTTGTATTTTTATGGGAACAGTGGTGGGCCAGACCTGCATCTGTGCACTGTGTCAGGTAGAATTTCCCTGGGTATTTCAGGACCTGTGTGCGTATGCCCAGAGCCCCTGACAGAACAATGTAAAGGAAACTTTCTGATGTTCCTGTAGCTTCTGCATGTTTTACTGCATGACCCTTCAATTCTTGGTCAACAAAAGTTATTATTAGTATGGCTGGAAGGTTTGTAATTGAGAGAGAGATTTTTATTGTTAAAAATATATTTAAAAATTGATTTACTATAAGTAAATGAAAAATGGATAGTTTTTTTTTAATTGCTTTTTTTTTAATTGATTACAAAGCTTCCAAAAATTAGTCTGGCTTCAAACCTTTTAAACAAAAAAAACCTTGGAATATTTTGCAGACTTATTGTTTCACTTTTTTGAGGAACTGTAGAGTTATATGATTAATTAGTTGAATCAGAAGTTTGAATGCTTTTTGCACCAACTAGCCATTAATATTAATCACTGTAATATTAATCAATCGAGCATTATAGTTACCTCTGTTTTGACTTACTTAATATGGTAAATGTGGGCTATAATTCACGTCCCTTTTTTCTTTCTCCAACTTCTAGAGTAAAAACTTTGAGATTGTAGCATAAAAACTCATGACATTCTCACTAGTTGTCCAAAAATCATTGTACTCCATTTTACTGTGTATAAAAACAAACAGGCCTCTACCAAAGCGTTATAAACGGACTGAACATAACCAGTAGATGGCATTGTCATCATGTGTTTTCTCATGTTATCAAAGCACAGATCACAAAAATTGAGGTAAGAACTTGACATGATTCAGATGGAAACTGGATATTTATATGGATAGCCAGAAAGACACAGTTATCAATGACACAACATTTGGAAAGGCTATTAAATATTGTGCTCCAGGGTCTAAAACAATCTCTAAATAATAGAAATCAGGATAAGGCCTAATATTAAAGGCAGACAACCCCACATTCTTCTTCTGAAATATCTAGCCACAGTCAGAGACTGGGTGCTGGACCACATGAAACCTTGCTACTTAATACATTGCCCCTCAAATCAAAGGGAGTATTTTCATTGACTTCCATTGACTCTACCAAGCAGTAGGTGAATAGATGTTAACTTGTTCTGGAGATTTAATCCAGTGAAGCTTTACTGGTAAACCCTGTGTGGATTCAAAATTTGTATCCGCATCTGCAAAAATGATCCAGGGATATCTGCAGATATGCACAGATGTAAAGTGGATATCTGCAAATTTGCCGAATTACAGATAAAAAATGTGTATCCACATCTGCAGCCATAAAAATTAGCTGTGGATAGCCACATTCATGGATAGTGGATACCTGCAAATATAAAGTGGATATCTGCAGATCTGCATGGCTCTATTTACTGGCACAATACTTTTTTCTCAATTAGGTGTTTTTTTTGTTTTGCCACTGCAAATTTTACAAAAATATAAATGTTAAAACTGGAATTAATTTGATATTCATGACAGTGAGTGGCTGACATTACTTGCAAAAATAGTGTGCCCAAATATGTGCTGTGTTTGCAGATGTGGACTCTGTTTCAGCCTAGCAGATGAATCAACGTGCTTTAAATGTTGACTAAATTAAGTTGGACCAAATTGCAGAGAGTTCACAAACTAATCCACTGTATCACCTATCTCTATAGAATTGCCTATATTCCAGTTTAGAAGTACTGGCTATGTAGATCTTAATTCAAACAATCTATACATATCATAGATAAAAATGTTTGCCATTTTGTCTTCATTTTTAGCAGAAGTTAGGCTAAATTGTAAAGTATATTTCTTATAGCACTAGGGAAGCTATGGCATGTTAACCGGTGAGTCACTGCTTTTGGCAACAACCAATGAACAGAAGAGGAGAAAATGCATACGTAGAATTGTTCACTTTTTGTGTGTGATTTGATTCAGTTATATCTGTTAGCTACTGAATGGTCTCTGATCGCTGGGACATGGTGTCCACTGAATTCTTGTGTAGACTTCTTCTAGTGTCCTGTCAACATCAAGAGTGGGAGGTAATGTTTAATGTTGAGTAGGATGTATGCAGAATGCCAATATGGTTAGCCATAAACCAAGGCACTAGAAAGGTGTAAGCATTGATGAGAATTTTATAGTAACCACTTTAGTAATACCAAAATTAAACTTGTTTATAACCTCCCACTATATTTTTAATGTCTAGCTTCACTAAATCTGTAGGACAACAGAATCTAGAACCTCCATGTAAAATTGGGGCCCTAGAGTACAGACACATTATATGACAGTCCCTGCCCAGAAGAAGAACAGTCTGAATGGACAACACTGATGATAGGTGTAAGGGGAACGAGAGGAATAGGAAAATGATGTGCCCAGGATCACAAAACAGTCAGTGACAGGGCTTGAATTGAATTTAAATCTCTTGAGTCACAGCTCAGTGTTTTATCGCCTTGTCCGTACTGACTTGAAAAGCAAAATAAAAACTGCAGTCTGTCTAATTACCAGAAATACTTTGTACACAGAGCAAAAATTACTTCTAATGTATTAGAAACTCCTGCCAGGAGCACGGGATGTTTTCAGTGACTGTGAACTATGGAGCTTTTCCCTCTAAGCTACATGTTGAAATGTAGGACAAAAATGACCCAAAACAACTACCATCAGAAGGCTGCCTGGTGACTTGTGTTAAGGAGTTGATAATCTTAGATGGGTGTCTCACAAAACACCATTACAACGTGTCTCAATTGCTATCCTGCATTGAAGAGATGGGATTTATGTGTAATTTGGGCAGTGATGATGTATGGCAGTTCTTATTAACAGGACTGAATCCATATTTAGGACCTGTTCCTGTGATGGGAGTTCTGTGCCCCCTACTGGTCAGCAGTTTCATTGTTCTGCTCTTATGGGAGACCACAGCCACAGAAGGAGAGGTAATTCCTTGAAGGGATTTGATTATCTTGTATTGTCCTCTGTTTTCAATGGGAAGCCAATGTGCAGAGCAGAGCATTGGGTTAATGTGTTCACAGCAGCTTGTATTGCTAAGCAAATAGGCTGCTGCGTATTGTATTTTTTGGGTCACACAATGTCATTCCTAAGTTATGTAAAACTGTGCCACAACTAACAATAAGCACCTCTCAAAGATGTAACGGCAGGTAACAAAACAGAATTTGTAAGACTTTGTAGAAGCACCATCTGGGAAGTCCTAATTATTGCAGAAAGGAAAGTAGGCAGCACGAAATATTTTGCATATAGCACCAGTACACATGAAGCAAGCTCTGCTTATGGAGAGGAGGAGAAGGGTGGCAAAAGAGAAATGTGCAGTGGATCAGGGTGGTCTTTAGGATTTGAAAAATGGGCCTTTCCAAGTTGTGTAGCTCAGTTGCACTTTAAATTTGGGAGCCTCGCTATTTGTATTCACACGATAGAGCGGCAGTTTAATAGGTAACTCTGGGAACACACAGTCTGTTAGATGAGAATTAAATATGTGCCTGCTATCTCAGTTTAGGGTTCTTCTGGGTACATCTTGAAGGAGCTGTCAGTGATTGTTCATGTTTTATCAGCACTATAGAGTATGAAATGGTTTACTACTGAGAATAGTTTTTTCAAAGGGTATATTGTGTGCATTCAATTTCTACAAAAGCTGCTTCTTTTATACTAAGTAATGTTATACTGAAGTAATTTTTATGAGACGTAATAT